TTCATCTTACATTCCGACCATGAGGCTCTAAAGTACATCCAAGGGCAACATAAACTCCGACCCCGACATGCTAAATGGGTCGAGTATATCCAAACCTTCAACTTAACCATCAAACACAAAAATGGAACCATGAACAAGGGCGCCGATGCCTTGTCCCGGAGGCATTTATTACTAACGGTACTTAGTACCAAACTTGTTGGTTTTGAGTTTTTGCAAGAGCTGTACAAGGGAGATGAAGACTTCAAGGACACTTATTCTAAGTGTCTCATTCGGCCATATGGAGATTTTCTTATCAAAGACGGTTATCTCTTCCGTGGTAACCAACTGTGCGTCTCGAAAAGCAGTATGCGCAAAACCCTCATTGTAGAAGTCCACGGAGGAGGCCTAGCTGGTCATTATGGAGTCGACAAGACTCACATGATGATGAAGGAGCATTACCACTGGCCAAAGATGGAACGAGACGTCGAGCATTTTATCAAGCGTTGCAACACATGTCACCTAGCAAAGAGTCACTCACTGCCCCAGGGAAAGCACATGCCGCTACCCGTTCCTTGTGCACCATGGGAAGATATTAGCTTGGATTTCATCACCAGGCTACCGAGGACGCAGCGGGGCAAAGATTCAATCATGGTTGTCGTGGACCGTTTCTCAAAGATGGCCCATTTCGTTCCATGTGTTACCACTTATGATGCTTCACAAGTTGCGGATATCTACTTTCGAGAGATAGTCAAACTCCATGGCGTTCCTCGAAGCATGGATTCAGACAGAGACACCAAATTCCTTAGTCATTTTTGGATGACTCTTTGGAGAAAATTGGGTACTAAACTGAAGTTTAGTACGTCAAGCCACCCACAAACCGATGGCCAAACCGAGGTCACCAACCGCACCCTGGGAACACTCTTACGAGCCCTCATCAAGAAGAACATCAAGCAATGGGAGGATCTCCTTCCACACGCCGAGTTTGCCTACAACCGAACCCCGAACAAGACTACCAGACTATCCCCATTCACGGTGGTCTATGGTTCGAACCCCTTGACCCCACTTGAACTTGATCCGATCATCACGGAAACCAAATACAGTTGGGAAGCGGAAAAGCGGTCAAAGGAAATCCAAGACCTTCACGCCAGGGTTCGAGAGAAGATTGAAGCTATAAACGAGAAGGTAAGTGCGCGCATCAACAGAGGAAGGAAGAACGTCCACTTCCAACCAGGAGACCTAGTTTGGATTCACCTTCGGAAAGAGCGTTTCCCCACGAAACGCAAGTCAAAGTTGCTGCCAAGAGCCGATG